GAATATGCCTGTAAGTTTATCCTCCTGGGAATGGAAAGAAAGATATCTTTACAGAGGAGTAATTATTATGATGTGTAGACAAAAATGAACCCTTGGCTTGAAAAGAATTGTGAATGCATCTCCTTCCAATTGGCAAGTTATTTTCTCAGCTGTTAGTATCAGAAATTTGAGTCTTTTTCTTTTAAATGGGAAAAAGTTAAGAGCCAAGTACCTTCCGGTAAACTTCTGGATTCACTGTTGAGTGACATTCAGCAAAAGGTCCCATGGGATCAGAGAGCAGTCCACACCAGTGCTGAGCGTACTGGTCTGTGAATTGAAAACAAGATAAGAATTTCTATTGCACTTTGCTGTCTAAAGTCTTGTCTCAGTGTAACTGTACTTCCTGCGAGGAGATTGCAGGAGCTTAACTTTACAATAGAATTCAGCTCTGCATTTGCTGAAACACAAACAAGTCTTTCGCTTCCTCTATACAGAAATATGAACTCTTCATAAACTTCTTAATTCCATGAATTAAAAGCAATGTCATTGAATAAACTAAGACATCCTTAGCTGAATTTTGAAAAAGAAGGTTCACATTGTGAATTAAAAATATGCTGGCTCATCTCAGAAAACAGAAGAGTGGCTTGTGAATGCTTGAAAATGATGTATTTCATTGACTGAAATGGAGCCTGAGATCTATGAAGTTCTGCATTGTAAGTCTGGTTCTCAGTTTAACGGTGGAAGGACTACACTGACTCCAGCCTTCAGTGGGGCTATGCACACTGTTTTCCCTATATGACAATCAGTACTTTCCAGGAGTGGATCCCTGATATGCTGAACGGTTCCAGTTTCCCTTTAGTTGGCAAAGACACCTTCTTTATCCAATAAGGAATATTTTTGAAGATCCAAAATATCCTAGTTATTATTTATTAATCAAAGACTTCTAGTGTCAACTAAGGAAAATAGCGTGTGTGCAAGTGGTCTACTGTTACTTCAGCTAAATGCTTGGTGGTTGATCAGCTTGTTCCTTCTTTACATCTTAAAAGAGAAGAGAAGAGGTTACTATGTGCTGAGCTTACCATTTTGTATGCTGAGAGTACAGGGGTCCTCAAAGGTATTTTTGGCATCGGGACAATCAGCCTGAGTTTTCCAGGTATTGCCAAAGGCAGCTGAAGTACCCTCTATTATACCGCTGGTGGTTTTGAAATCATCTGTCTGCACATCATTGAAGTTCCCACAGAGACCTAAAAGGAAGCAGATGAGCTGTGAAAGTCTCCTACAGAATGACGCATACTGATGAAGACAGTTGTTATGATAAGATCACTTACCACAGGTCTGCCCTTTATGTGATGGGTCTAAGTCTATAAAAACTTGCATGAGAGGCACAAGCTGAACCTGTAGCTGAAGACCAAATGTTGTTTGCAGAACAATGAAGAAAGATGATGGTCTGAAGATGGTGACATTCGCTGGGGACATAAGAACATACGAGTTATAATTTTGTATGAGATGAGCAGTTGAAATAACTGTTCATTATATAGAGGGATTCTACAGCTGTGTTTGATACGATGCTAATTTCTGAAGGACTGAGGGAACAATGATCCATATAGGATTTCAAATCCAGCACCAAAACAGACTTTCTTTACCCTAAACAACAAATGTATAAAACCCTCCACTTTCTGTCAGGTGTTTCAAAAAAAGGGGTAGAACACACACTTCCATTGCTATTTAAAAGACCACCTTTGCTTGATGAAAATGATGTAGCATGATTTAGTGGTAGACTCCAATCTGGATGTATTCTGTCCTTTCATGATTTGCTTTTTGTTCAGGTGCTGTAGTATCTGAGAAGAACTGATGTGAGAGAAACCAAGCAAAGGGTCAGAGGGAACACAAGGAACTAAACAACTTGAGATACTGGAGTCCTGTTCCATATCAGAGTTTTTCTTTCCTCTCTTATGGCTATATTTGGATCTGGAAGTGTGCAATGATACTGTTGGCTTGACTTGAATCTCCATTTGATAAGGTATTGGTAAAATTAGACCATAATTTTGCTAAAATGTTAAGGGTTGAATAGGCAAACCCTATTACTTTAAAAATCAGAGACTATGCTCTATTGGAGTACCTTGGGTTTGCTGCAGTGTAACCAAAGAATTTGGCTTTAAATTAACCAATGTAATTACATTTTAAAGTCAATACCAATAAACATTGCAGAAGTCTTTCAGAGGAACTTACCTGCAGAGAATGGCAGCTGTGTGTAGATCGTATTCACAAATACACTGCCGGAAGGCTGGATCACAATGTTCTGTCCACAAGAAAAGGCAATGATTATCAAGCATATTTAGGAAAGGTAAAACACTTTAAAAGTATTTTCTATCTAGTGTTGCTCAGGATAAAGGAAGAAAAATTAAGGGGAGACTGTGATGATGATCTGATTCCTATACTGTTTCTTTAATCTTTATTAAGGTCGTCCATTGACTGTCAAAACAAGCAAAAGCCCAATAATAAGTAAATGACAGAAAATTACTAGAACTTGACTTCCAATGTGCCTACTTTATTCTTAATTTTCGTTTGAATAGTGTTCAAATGAGATACAACAAAAAAATCAGTGCAGATTTCCTGTCCCTGCTGGTAGGTGTCATTCGCAAACTGCTTGTCTATTAAGCTTTGAAAACATCACTGCAGAACACTAGGTATCTACATTTGCGACTTACAGTTTGTCCTCCATTTAGGCTGACAGCTATACCCTTGAGGCATGTCTCTGTGTCAGTCAGGCCACACTTGCGGATATCTCCCAGAACAGTGAATTCATTGCTGCCACAGAGCTAGAAGAAAAAAACAAAGTATATTGTTAAAAGGATTTGCTATTTTACAATGTCGTTGTGTTGAAAACGTTCACACTCGCATGACATTCGTAGTAAAGTGAGTCTTTTAAAATAATGTTTACTGCTTTTCTTCCTGCTCATACGTTCTTACATATATGTATACAGTCACCAAGTAAGCTGGCATTTGTGTGGTCTGCACAGTGGAAGCTCTCCATTACTTCTGACAGGGGCAAGTTAGACATACTAAGCTGAATGTTAAAACTGCCTAATGTTTAGGTAATACTAGTTTAATTCGCTAGAGAAGAAGGAAGTATACCTTTCTTGCCTGTTAGTAATGGTACCTGGGAGAGGAGAGAAATTGTTTCCAGTCTCTTCTGCACTGAGTAGATTATCAAAGAGCCTAGTGATATGGACATTGTTTTAACAGGTAGGAATTAAGCATTTAAATATCCTCTCGTAGGAGAAAATTAAGCTAAAATCACTATTCACTAAGCTACTGAATAAAAGCAAAATTCATTTTTTCACTTGGTTCTGATTTTCATTGCACTGTGTTCTGTGAGCTGTATTCAAAGTGTGCCTAATGGCCAGGACATTACAGGGAAACACACAGAAGCCCGTGATTCTGAACATGTCTGATCATTTTCTTGGCGTAATGAAGATTAAATTGAGGAGTGCTGAAAGGCAGAATTACAGCAGACTGGAAATTTAATGTTAAAATTGGGGGCTTTTTGGCATTTTTTTGTCCAAGTTTAGGGGGATTCTGTACATTCAGAGCCTCTGAGAATCCAATTTTACGTATTTCTGCCAAAAGAGGAGTTTAAGTCTGATCTATGCTCCGCTTGTGAATCTCATCCAAAAGTTTCATTGATTTAGTGTAATCTACTTCTAAATTGCCTTATTCTAGCTAATTTATAAATTTTTATGGTTCTCTTTCTTGATAACATTCAGTTTGAGTTTTTGAGAACAGATTTTATTTAACATGAAGTCTTTATGAAAATTATTTACACATCACTCATCCCATATAAATAAACAACAACTATACCTAGGGTTCTGAAATTGGCAAATCTGTAGTCATTATTTTAGATATAGCTACTCAGAATTCAGTCCCTACTAATCTAAAAACTCCAGTAAATCTTAGGTATTTTTCTAAGTCATCAATTTCTAATTAAGGTTTTAAAATACATATATGACTTCTTAGCCTTTTGCTTTTAAAATCTAAAGTCTTCTATGTTTGCTGGGAAAGACTGTTTGGAAGGATAATCATCTTCATCAAATAACTCCTCTCATAAATTCTGTATAATAATAATTCCATTACAAATACTGATAATCAAATAAGCCATTGAACTATATTAACTGTGACAAAAAGGACAGTACCAATGGACGTAATAAACACATTTATTGGAAAGAAGTAGTTATAAAACACTAGACAGGTAATATTTAATTAAAAAATTAATGTGAAGCATGGAGATTGTTTCATGGAAGTGAAAAACTCACTGCAATTTTTAAACAATAGTCAAAGAACACAAAACTACTACAGTATATTTGTTTAGTATAGCCCTAACAGAAAGCCTCCTGAAATCCATTTAAGGCTCCATGTTGACCCTTGAAGTTTCAGAAGGTTGATGTGGTTGCCAGTAGTTTTAATTAACCAGCGTTACATATAATAAAAACATTTTCCTTTAACATATTGATTTAGCAAGGATTGAGACTCATTTTTACCTTGGTTAGGACATAGCTACAGTCTCCGAAGAAGGAATAATATTTCTCATCAAATGTTGAAATGTGGGAGCCTCCTTCAATACTGCAAGTCCCGGGGCATGACTGGGTGATACAAGACCATTCACCTCCAATACAGGTACTAAAATGAAAAAGGCATTCAGTAACCTTGGGTAATGCAAGTGTAAATGAAATAAGAGACAGTAAGGGCAGTTGATGCCTTAATTTTTCTCTTGAAGCACTGATCATACTATCAAAGAAACCCACATTGCTTTGAAGTCTCGGAATAATTATGAGGCAGGCACATTTATATTAGCAATAATTTTTTAATATATTGCTGTTCATTTCCAGTCTTTGGGCAGAATTTGGTCAAGGTGAACCTGGCATCCATTCTGCTGCATATGAAGGATCGCCTATCATCTCCATGAGCGTGGCTCAAGCTTAAAACATGTTAAGTATTTTTTGGAAAATAACATGCATGTTTGTGATTCTTGTAATCGTAGATAGATAGTTGCATTTGCGTACTTATGCAATAATGCTTCATTATTTATAACAATATTGAAAAAACACCTATCATGTCTGTCAAACATGCCTCTCAAATGTAATCTGTTGCCCTGTCTAACGCAACATGTCTCTAAAAGTCATCCTCCATAGTATTTACATGAGCATCCTAGTATTACGCTGTAGTGCTGCGAAGGACATAACACAGTAATTCACATTTTTGAACACCTCCAGTATTTGAATTTGATTGTCTCCTTTGATTGATTTGTCTTGAAACCTATATCTAAACTCAATTTTTTGCTTACAAGTGTGAGGAGAACAGAGAGATTTATGTATCTAAAAATGTGTGATCAAGGAACTTCAGTTGATAATTAGTTCCTTGTTTCTTTTTAAGGGAAGATTAGTGATGTTTTCCTGTCTTCAAAATGTTCAGGTAATGCACCTGAAAAAAGAAGTATGAGAAAGAGAGTATGTTACCATGATCTGCATTTAGATGAGAAGGAGGCACCAGGAGCATAAGTTTCACCTTCATAGGTACAGTGACATTCTGTA